TACATTACTCATCAAAAGCATTTTTAGAGACATACAATAAGACTTGAGGATGGATCTTCTGTGAATTATTAATACATTCGTAATAAAAATATAATGTATTATTTTTTTCTTTTTTTTTTTTTTTTTTACTTTTTCTTTGTATGTATAACGTAATAGAGTCACCAACAATTTTTTCAGCAAAAAAACAAAGCTATGTATTTTTCAAGAATAAAGATTACTGTGGAGTATTTTAAAGAATTTCTTACTGTATTATAAAAAATTTTGAGCACAAGTTAGTGAACTACATTTTTTGAAAAAATCGTGAAATGGAGTACTCAAAAAAGTGTCCATGCTCAAGTCTACACGTACAAAAAACACAAAAAGCTACCGAAAACCTTAGCGAAGCTTGCCTAGATCGTTTTCCAAAAGAGAAAAAAGCCATTGAAAATGCAAATTGACTTAGAACCACGTGCAGGCCGACCCGTAGCGTAACGGTAGTCAGGTACGTACTGTGCGCGGAAAAGCTGGAAATCGATTTTCACCGGCGACCGCAATCTACCCCCCTCCCCCCTGTACTCTTGACGCCAGCGACGTCTATAATCCGACCAGCCGCGAGAGCTTCTTAAGTAAAACTCATAGCCCCGCGAGAATTTCAATTTGCTCGGCGCCTTTGCACACCCACTGTATCAGTAAACGCGAATTTTTTTGCATTTTTGCAAAGGCGTGGCTGCTGCACCGCATGGATGGAGCAAAGCCACTTTTACGATCCACACACATTGGCTATTAGACCCCGGCAGTGTACGGTAGCCGGCTTTTTCAACAGTTTGGCCTCTGATGGAAAACTCGAGTCATTTGATAGTTTTTTTTTTTTTTTTCCCGCTTTATCGTACAAAGGAGCGGCTTGTGCTTTTATTCGAAAAACATTCTGTGTTTCAATGTCCCCGTGCGTGCTTTACGCTCTTTGGAAAAAATAAATTCTTTTTTTCCTCTACTTTTTCGGCTTACCCCGAACATTTTTCCCTCAACAGGACTGAAACAAATGCCCATGTACATACGTAGCATTGAATGTAAAAAACTTCAATTGAAATGAAAAAAAAATCAACGGGCATTTGTATGAAACACAGTGAATTTCATATTTCCGAGGCAAGCTTCGCAGGGGCACATCATCACGAGTCGATTCATTGTGTACAACAAATATAACGTCCTACACAAAAGAGTCGTAAAGTTGTTTTTTACGTACGTGAATGGGTACACACTATACACTTATTAATTTTACAATCTATGTGTACACGCACAAACACACGTACAAGTGTATTACGTAATAAATTCGCTCCGGCTGGTACATTCAGGTTTAAATCGAACGAGCCCAAGCGAGACGTGTCCCATTGAACGTACAGGTACAGGTGTATGTTTTCAGCTGCTTTCATAAAAATTATATTGTACACACGTACGCATTCTCGTGGTGCCACGGAATAATGACAAATAACGCAACCATGATGGAAAAAAGGGGATGTATGGGGTTTTAATATATATATACACCCCGTGCAACGAAGCGGGAAGAGAAGGAGAAAAAAAATGTATGTATTTTATGCCAAAAAGGACGGGACGGGAAAAACAGGGAACGCGATAACGAGTGTTAATTATCCTTGCCATTATCCGTATCTCGGGTGTAGTGTGTTTTCAAATGATCAGCGTAGGAGTAATAACTCCCATCAGGATTTATTTTTCATCCCCGAAGCTGCTTTTCCCGCTTGCGTGTTATTCATCGCATTAGTGAACGCCAGCGCGCGAGACCCTCTCATACCAGGCCACACAATATCCGATTCTCGATGGGAGCATACATTCTCGTTTCATCCTTACGTTTGCCGGTAGCAGGACGCCCGTGTATATAATACAACGTATAGAGCACTTGGCAACTTTCTGGCAGCTCTCTCCTTCTCTCCCCCCCGTCGTAACTTGTTACCATTTTTTTTTTTTTTTCTTTTTTCTCTCGGTGTGCCTTTGTACTACTATACACAACTTGGTGCTCACGAGGCTGTGTGTGTGTGTGTGTACCATGGGACACATAAATGTGAGTGGGTGAGAAGTGTTTAAGGCTAAATGTACGAGACTGGACCCCAGGTGTTGAGCCCTGTGCGGAAACCAAATCAAGCCGACATACTGTCACCTGGAACGTGACCACTCGCGCCGTTGTTATTTAATATATACCTACATCTATATTGGTTATATTATAATATTTATAGACATATTTATATATATATGTGTATATATATATATATATTCGCCTGTAACTCTCTGATTGTTTCTATACTGTCTATACTGTCTGTGGCCATCATTATTATTATTATTATTATTTTTTTTTTTTTTTTCGATCTTCCCATTGGTTCCCGTCAAACGTCCGATCTTATGTATTATTTCGCTTTTTCCCGAGGCTATGTATGTATATTTCCCGTGCAACATCGCACCAAACGCCTTTGGGAGGAGGATCTTGGGCAGTAGCGATTTCCTTTCAAAATTTCAAGAGGCAAATTTATGCCGTGCTCGGGGAGCTTATTTACTATCGCAGTTGCCCGTATTATGCAGTACGTAAGATTTCCCATGGTTGAACAAAAAAAAAAAAAAAAATTCCTTGGGGACAATTTATTTACTTGTCGGATGGATTATGTTTGAAATGTGTTTGCTTGGAAACATGAGTTACTTTTTTCTTTTTATATACATTATTATTGCCACTCGAAAATCAGTAGTTTGGTAAACAGTAAAGTTTATTACTCCAAATTGCTTCTGCAGTAACTGCCCAGCATCTGATTCCTTACTCGAATCCCAGCCCCTGACCCTCCCAACATTTATAAATATAGTAACAACCCAAAAGGAGAATATGAAGACTAAGAACAGGACAATTTTATTCTCAAAAAAAAAAGACACCTTCAGAAAACAGAGAAAAAAATCAGACGTCTGTAATCTTCCCGACTAATGTTATCTGGCCATCAAACAAAATAAAAAAACACCACAGGAATGCTTGAACAAAAAAGACGATGCTTATATTGATGTGCTAAGACATTCGTCGATATATAGATATCATTGTCAGTGCGTGTGTAGTGCGCAATTGCTCTTTTTTTTTTTGTTTTTGCACTCATTTTTACGTATTAAATATCTCCCGCCGTACAGCTGTGTCGTTATATGGTTATAATTATGCTGTCACGCGTCACATGTCATGTGCGTGCGCTTAAGAATGGTTTTATACGTATATATATATACATATATATATATATATATATTGTAAATATACGTAAAGCTTATTTTTCTTCTTGTACATGTATATTGTGTAACGTTTGTCCTTAATTTTTTTTTTTCCTCCATGTACTTGTGTTGTTTGCCAACTATGCCACTGACATTGCTTTTGAGAAACGGATGCAGAGGATCAATCATCCCTCTTTATTTTGACACAACTGTCGAAATTCATTTTTACTTGTTTTAGTACATCTACACTTACGCGTGTGCGCGCCTCTGGCTTGCTTTGCTTGGGATTTTGCTTTCGCATAGGTATACACGGGAACAAAAAAAAAAAAAAAAAATAGTAATAGTAACGCAACGTCTTCGACACAATACACACCTCGGCTAAACGGCTTGTCTTTATTTCGAAAAACAGGGTACTTCTGCGTGGTGTGCAGCATAACGCTCCCGCGTGAAAATAAAGAAGCTGCAGTGGCTTCGCGAAGGCTGGGGAAAGAAAACTCGGGCCCGTTTTATTTTTACGATCTACGTGCACGGGCGGGCGATAGAGAAAACACTGCATCGTTGTACGTGCCACTCCTGGTGTAGCACTCGAGGCGCACCTTCGATCGCTCCGTTGGCGCTGAAACGCGGCTACGCTTAGGTGCTGCCAAATAAATGTTAAGGGGTGACAGAATACGCGATCTCCTTTATCGGAATGTGCGTGTGGTGGGTAGGGGGATTGGGGAGTATTTAAAGAAAAAGTTTCTCTTTGCGATCCATTGCACTCGGGTGAGTGTAGCCTCTGAAATTTCCGAGCCATTGAGCCCAAATGCCTACTCATCTTTGTTTTTTTTTTGATGCCGATTATTTATCGCGCGAATGCGCCTATTGCAACTTGGTAGGTGTAAATTACTTTTTTAGGCTCACTTGCTCTTTACTTTGGTTGAAACAGCTTTTCGATGAATCCTACGTGTGAGTACAGTTCTTTAGAACATGAGTTTTTCGTACTTTAATCGAGAATAAATAAAGGGGGAAAAAGGTTTCAGTAGAGTAAGTCAGTTTTAGGTCAGACAATGAGCTTCGCCAGGTATTCGTGTCATGCTTTGTCCCGAACTGATGCTTTTTCGATGAGAAAAATAATGAAAAAATCCATCCAACGTTACAAAGTACTAAAAAAAAAGAAAGCACCAATGAACCTCGCATAAACGCACGCCCCGCTCACTCGTAAAATTGAATAAAACGACGTCACGAGCAAACAAAAGGAAAATTAAACTTTTTTTTCCCTTCCCGCCATCCCTGTCACTTCAAAAAAAAAAAGCACGCCAACACACACGCGTTTACACGACCTGCTCAAGATTATGCAAAGAGACGTTCCTTCGCTCGCGCGCCCAACTCCCTCTCGTCCCTTTGATATTCCTACGAGCTCGCTATTCTACTCCAGCCAGGGGCGCAAGAACACCGGACCCGGGAAGATCATCAAGGGACGTCTCCCTCTTTAGCAACGCTCCTTAAACCAGCTTAATGATCTTCCCTTTTTTCCCTGCCTGTGCCGTACACCGCTGTTGTCTTCGCAATCCTTTTTCAAGAGCTTTTTTCCTCTAGGTATTTCCGTTCTCACCGCGCAGTTTTCAAGACTCGCGAGTGCTCGAAAAAAAAGCATACACACTGTCGCGACAATTTTCTCGACGCTTAACGCGCTCATGCCTCGTTCCCGGCAATGGGTGCAGGGGAAAAACTTCAATTCGAGCTTTACGGGGGCTTTTTTATCCCATTTAACACGCGTACGCTCAACAATTAAACGAGCACAGTCGAGGAAAAAAATTCCCAAGAAGCTCTACTTCCACTGGCCCTGGAAATTTTTCACCAAAGCCAAACCAAAGAAGCCGATACCCACCCACACAGCCACGCCCCGAACGATCGGGAGCAATGCTCGTGTGGCACTTAGGGTCCTCGAGGAAGCACTTTGCCCCTGGCGCGTCAAGATCATCCAACACCAACCAGTTTAGTGAGCCCCCAAGTGCTCTCGCGGAGACCGTCAACAGATGGAAAGTTGTATACAATACACGGCCCACAGTTGGAAGATATATCGAAAGAGTATCCGTAAGCCAAACAAAGACAATCCCCGGATTCCCGAGCACCCTACGTGTAAGACACACATCTGCTGATCGAATCAAGCCTCCGGAGGGTCGAGGCCGCACGTACGCACACCTACAAGAATCTCCCTCGAGTCGAAGAGACGTGCATGTACGCGCGGGCGAAGAAATATGATAGCGGCGCTCGTGGAGCCGTAACCGAGAGAAGCCCCTTTCTGCAGTGCGCCGCTGGAGTCGCGCCAACCGGGCCAAGCGGGTGATAGCTCTGGACCTCAGAAGCCACTGGGTATCCTCTCCTCCTCCTCTCGCCCCATTCGAGAACTAGCAGCCCCCCTGACTTATTGCCCGGGAGCTTTATATCCGCGGGTGGCTCGCGAGCGGAATTCCTCGGGCGCCCACGACGCGCCCTCGGATCGTTCACGTTTGTCCTGCGGGGGCAAATTTTAGGATTCGCAAGTACCTGCTTCCTGGGAGGAGGGTGGCGCGCACTGCTTTTTAGAAGGGAGGGCTGAAAGTGAGTGAATTATCCGATTTCTCCGTGAAAACCAAATTCAACTCTAAGCTCCTCTAATTACGTGCGCGCAGCCTCGCAGAGTCCTTGACCCCCCCTCCACTCGACTGCCATCCAATCTGCGAGATTTTGCGGAGGGAAAAAAAGGCGCACGCGTACACATGCACGTGATCATAAATAGAACGACAGAGTTAACTCTCTACAAACTCATTAGGCACCGAGTAGGAAGGACTTGGTGCTCGTTAGTTTGTGACGCATTGTACACCGGGGCTTGAGTGGTGTGTACAGCTTGCGTATAATGATCCCGTAGGTGGCCACGGTGAGGCGCTCGGCTGCGGTTTCCGTTTAGATCCGAATGAGCTGAAATAAAAAAAAGGCTTCGTTAGGCACCTTATTTCCTCTTTTCACGACTCTCCGTTTCTTGTATCGGCACATACACACATGCCGAGCACGTGAAACGCGAAAAGTGTTCGATATACTTGTGAACTCCCACGAGAGTTGGGGGCTGCAATTTTTAAAACAATAACTTAGAGCCAGGCGCACTGCGGATAAGGGGGAAGAGGAGGAGGCTGACATTACTTGCAGAGATACACGAGGACAACGGACGCCATTCGCGTCTGCTCCGAATGGCTGGGACAAGTTATGCCACGGCGCTACTCTGCACAGGGAGTAGTTGTTATGTTGTGGCATTTTTGGACCCTTTGTGGTTACAAAAGATGAGTAAATTGACGTGGAAAGCAGAGGATCGCGGAAGGCTTCAATCGACGCGTGTGTACCGGAATGTATATTTTTCTTCAAGGTGAAACATACATACATCCCACTCTCGAGTCACATCTCTATGGCAAGTTTCATAAGCGTGTACTTTTTTTTTTTAAGTTAAGCTTCAAATACATTACCGCTTGTGGGACCTAACTTTTATTCGTGTACACGCGTTAGAAGCGGAGAAGAGGAAAAATTTTTCCCAAATGCAGTGGATCTGACTGCCAGACGAGAGTCAATATTTACTCGTCGTCGAGACGGTGGTTTTAGGAAAGCACGCGAATAAGTCTTGAGGGAAGAGGAAGTGTAATTTCACTGAGTTTTGGCGATGACGAAGTAATTTAATGGCCTACAATAACTTTGTGTTTTTATTATGTGTGAATTTCAGCGGGGATGCATGAAATTCGAGTCACGCGTATTATACGTCTGTGACAAATGTGATCTATAAAAGAGTTCTCAGCGATCCTATAAAACACAAGCGTCAGTCACCTATCGGCAATAAAGTCTTTTAAAAACGTCAATGTCCGCAGAGTTCAAAGGGAATCGCTTTCTTTGTCGCAGTGGTAGCACTGATAGTTGCCAGTTCGAACATCTCAAAGAGGAGCTGTCCACGACTGACTCCCCCCCCCCCCTATCTGAATAGATAGTGCTCTTGCAAGGAAAACCCTGGTAAACGGCTGATTGCGTGACTGTATCTACTAAATGCACGAGTGGAAAGATGGAAGGGACAGAGGAAAATGCGAAGGCCCGCATCGGAGGGACGAAAGAGGAAGATTAAAAAAGAGATGTCATATCAAGGACACGGACGTGCGTGTTTATGATCTTATCTGAATTTTTTATCCTCGAAAAGGAAGGATGGTAACAGCTGTTGTTGTTTTCTAGCCGATATGAAGGTTCCGTGTCTTGTTTTCTTTCGTGGGATACGTGAAAGTTGTTGGGAATCCCAAAAAGTGTGATTTTTCTTTAATAAAACGCAAACACAAGTTGTGGAAAACTCGAATCGATCCTACTTACGCGTAGGGAAAGGAAAATTTAGAAAGGAAAAACGAATCAGCTGACAACGAAAGGAAAGCAGCGACCAGTGCTAACACGAGGCTAAAAAGATCGGAGATAAAGGGACACGAGTGTGGGGGGAAAAAAGGAAGGGAGTGCTGCGGTTCCTTCATCCTTACGTACATGGAAGCTCTTTCACTCTTCCGTGCGCTAGCAATACGAGGCCCAGTCTTTCGGGGCGTTTAACTCAGTGAGCTTAAGTCCTGGACAAAAAGAGCGAACAAGAGCTGCAGTGGGAGGATCTTGGGAATGGGGAGATAAAGAAGAAAAAAAGAAGGAACGAGGATAGCCAACGCGACCAAGGGGGGCTTTTTGTCTTCTCCCTTGACTACATCCCACACTCTGGATTTTTTCTCCTCTCTCTCACTTTGTGGTTTTTTTTTTACAAACTTCAATGCAGAGGTGTATCGTCCATAATTACGTACATCCTTTTTTCCTTATCTATTCGCGGCTCAGTGGCGAAATTACGAAACACGGGACAGATCATCGGAGTCTGACCAAACTCGATCTTTTCTACTGAAATCACTCCGGTCCCTTAATTACTTGCCAATCTATCTTCGTGCATCGATTGAATTTAACCAGCCGTAGGAGTTAATAATTTACAACAATGGATCCGATAATTCAAGTAGAGATGGCAGGTTTAATTAATATATATCGCGATAATAGCTTCCGCAAGTTAATATCACCAACTATCGCCCCAGGATCGTTAATAGATTAATAAATTTAGATGATATCTCGTTCCATGAGCTATAACAGAGAGATTCATAGTGCAAAGTTGTGAATGACGCTCGTTACGAATATGCGTATAATACTGTATATCGAGAATTATTGATCCCGTTAGAGTTAATCGCTCGACTACATCCACGTAAAAATATTAACTTCTTCAGCGCGTGCTATCTGAGCAGCTCATGCACGGATCAATGAATTATCTACGTTATGCATGTGTGCTTCAAATTGTTCGGCTTGCCTTTGAGATTTTCCTATCTCGCTCGTAGGAAAGCTTCTGTGGACTATCTCTTTCTTATGAGAGCGAAATGAAAAGTGCGTGGGAGTGTGTCTAAGTGAAGGCTGGAGTGGGTTGTGTTGGGATGGTTTTTTGAGATCATGCGTATTCCGTCACTCTTTCGCGTTTCGCATTCAATAGCAATAACCAACAATCCAAGGCATTAAATCATCGGTCGACAACAACCGAGTGGAATCACAAACTTTTGCACCAAAGGTTCTGAACAGAAGGTAGCAGGAAAACTTTTGCGAGCCAAGTCCGAAATTAAACGAGGAAAAAAAAAAGCAGCAGAAAAGAAAGAGTTTTCCGCTAACTTTTCGTATTTTCCATGACAAACGGCGAGCAATTGGGAAGCCTCCGATATACCCAAAGATTTTCCGCCTGTAAAGTTAGCTGGGATTCGGCAAGCCATCCTATCCCCCAAACTCCTTTTACCTAAGAAGGAGAGTGACTCCCACACACCAACGCACACCCACTCGGATGATCTATTCAGAGAAAAAATCCCTCCTCGGTACACTCGTCTCTGAACTCCTGTATTCTAGTAACGCGAGAAAAATAGTGGTGTTTATTCAACTTCTTTCTCTGTTGTGCAGCAGGTGTAGTTTCGAGTAGATCTCAAATGCATTTTCAAATTTGTACACAAAGTGCAGATAGAAAAGCAGATGTATGGGGTGGATTTTCCTTTGAGTAGCATCTGCCACTTGTATAGTGTCGCGTTTGGAGGGAGGGAAGGCAGAGTTCAATCGAAAAGTCGCACACCTCGTGAGAGCGAAACTTTTTTCTTCGTCATTCATCACATCGCCGTCGATAACGCATAAGATAAGATCATACGTATTTACCTCCATCGGTCATACCTCGATCCTGGCATAATCCCGATGATGTGGGAGATCCCATTTAAAATTCATACCTTCTTACGTGGGTGAGCGTACCACGATACACACAACACGCGGGAGGGGCGGCTTCCATGCACCCACCCGAAGCTGTTGACAAGCATCCCTAACATACTTGGTCATATTAAAATACACACACACACACACACACACACACACACACACACACACACACACACACACACACACACACTTGAGTCCTGAGCTCCCGAGACACCCTTACATATTGTACGCGTCCTCGAAGGGATATCATCGGGATGTCAGCGTCGAGTTGACTCGACGTACGTGTACAAGAACACGCGCTGCTGGGCCCGCTGTATTGCTCGAAACTCTCTCTCCCTCTCTCTCTCTCTCTCTCTCTCTCTCTCTCTCTTTCCAAGTAAATACGTTACAGTTGCAGTGATAGATCATCCGACGATACTCACTCTGCATCTACTGTACAAATATACCTGTTTAGTTTATGCCGCAATATCGCCCGGAAATGCTATCTCGAGAGTCGATTAATCGGTGTAAAATTTGACACGCAAATATCATCGGCGTCGATTGAGCGAGCAACTCTCCGTTGTATTTGAGTACTGTCCCGTACCACTCGTCGATGAGTCAATCTTCGTTTGTTTGTTTATCTTTTTGTTTGTTCACTTGTCCGTTTACCAGCTGTAGTTTACTTGCATCGATATCTCTCCATTCACATAATATG